CTCTCCTTATGACTGGTGTGGATGAAGTGATTCCCACATGTGTGGTTTGCAGAGCAATCTGAGATATGCAGGTTCATTAATATGAAATGCAGGTGTGTTAAAATGGCAGCTGGCCATTTTATCTCTCTGCTGCACTGTGTCGTTGCTTACATAATTAACTGTGAGAGCCATTGTAGATTATGAAATTTTACAAGCAAGCAAAAACTGAAGGCATATAATGCATTGCTTCGATTTACCAGAAGTGGTGAGTTTTGTTTTTATAATGATTCCTAGTTATACTAAGAAATGGTCCCTGGTGTATTCTGTAAAGTAACCACATTCTAATAAAATACCTCGCTCTAGCGGCTTTTATTAAATATTCTGTGAAAACTAAGGAGATACAGTAGTTGTTTGTGCTACTGCTGAGGGTATAATTAACAAGGTTTGACTGTAGCTGCTGTCAGAATTAGCATGCTTTCCACGTAAAAATCCCTGTTAACAGTGTTAGGATTCGTATTTCAGCTGTATTCACAATTCGCTGTTGATCGAGAGAATGGAATATTTCATAAGTAATGTGCCTTGCCTGGGTTATGTTGAATCATGCGAGTACTTCGTTTAACTCCATTGCAAAGAATCCTCACAAAAAACCAAATCTCCAAGAGCAGGAGGAGTTTCCTTTTTGCAGGGAATCACTGGGGAATCAGGGAATCGCTAAATGTGCATGCAGCAATGTCCCGTCAGCTCCTTCCTTCCTTCTCCTTGGCATAAGCTGTGGGATTGCTACCACCAAAACCTACCTTATTTTGAAACGACAGTCATGGTTAATAGGAGATGGTGCACACTTGACCAAAGTAAAACTGAAACAACAGAAATCAGGAAACAATGCAGGTTCTGAGCTGGAGAAGCTGACATTTGAATACAAAACAAACAGCACGATGAGGTGCAGACTGAAAGCTCGAGTCTGGTCTATTTTTAACTAGACAGTTGAAGATGTGGTGAAAAACTGAGATGTTTGTTCAAAGCGACACATACAGAGATAGAGGTTAGCTGGTAGTCAATTCACACAGGTGGAAAGGAGGATGAAGAACAGTGTGCAGCTAAAACAGCTGATTTTTCCAGCTGTGCAGATCACTTGTAGGTTTTAGGTGGCATTGATTTTTTTTTTTTGTCAGTAGTAATAGATCCTAAAAGGGATCTGAGCTGAACTTGCATTTGAAATCAAAGTCCTGGCAACGTGCTGTTGGGAAAAGTGGACAAAATGTGCCACACAAGGCACGTGCATTTCTCTGAGCAGGGTGGAAGCATATTCCATAAATACAGATGGTGAGAAACCACTGATTTGGCAGCCCTGATGGGGCCATAGGAAGGAAGCACATTGCCATTTGGCAAAGGGAGCTCCTGGTCAGGATGATGCGGCAGCAAGAGTTCATGCACAGTGCCAAGACAGTCATGGAACGAAAATGGGTGCTGTTTAGGTTTATGGGGGTGTGTTCAGGGTTATTTTGTGGTGTGGACTGAGTCTTACGTATTTCGGCAAAAGGAGCACTTTCTTTACCAGGGCTTTGTGATTAATAAACATGACAAAGTTTGCACTGCAGGATCAGTTTTTAACGAAGCTGTTCTGTTGCCTCTCTCTGGGCTTAACACCCCCAAATTGAACTCGCTGGCTGCTACCTTGCTAGGCCAATGTGTTGGCTCGCATCTTTGCAGGGGAGGAGAGAGTCCTTGGTGTTTGAGGTTGGTTTTATTTTGAGATCTCTGTGTTACTGACTCGGTGGTGGAGGCCCCATCCCTGGAAACATTCAAGGCCAGGTTGGATGGGGCTCTGAGCAACCTGATCTAGTTAGCAGTGTCCCTGCTCATTGCTGGGGGGTTGGACTGGGTGACCTCTAGGGGTCCCTTCCAACCCCAAACATTCTATGATTCTATGATCATATCCGTGACCTCTTTTTTAGCCCGTACACTTTGGAGCCCGGGGTAAGATGCCCTTTTATCATCGGGAAATAACAAATCGCTCTGGCGAACGGCCAGGCCGCGCCTCTGGGAGCTGTTTTCCTCCTCCTCCTCACCTGCACGGGCAGGACGCGCGGTAGCTGCGAACTGCAGGGCGTGCAGCCTCCTCCGAGTCCCGGGGCAAGGCCCCGCTTCCCCGCGTGGTCCTTCCAGATCCGTTCGCAAAGGGTGGCAAATTGTCCGCACCGGTCGCGTTGCTGGTGCTGCTGAAACGGAATGGCTTTCTGTAGAATTTATTCCTTCTCCTTCGGGATGCTTTCCCTCTGACCAGCTGAGCGTGCTGAAACTCTGGGAAGCAATACAGAGCAGTATTTCATTGCCAAAGGAAAAATCAGTGGGGCTTGGGCTCTTAAGCGGTTTGAGAAATCCCACTTGTCGCTGGCCGTACCTCATAAGCCCACGGGTGCAGCAGGGCACGCGTCCCCAGAGCACCGTCACAGAAGGAGCCCCGGCTGCCATGGGCGGCCGCTCGGTATCGCACAGCATGGGTGTGTGCGGGCTTGAGGGATATTTATCAACAACAGATATTTAATGTTTCATAAATGTCGCTCAGCAGGTGGCTGGAGCCACCCACGCGTGCACCAGCAGGTAAGCAGTTGGGAGTACACCAGCGTGAAAATGCATGATATCAGTGCAGGAGCTGCATCAAAGAAATGTCGCTTGTTCCTCAGCTGTAAATCGCAGTAGAGACAGACAATACATCGCTGCCTTCAGGCTGGAGTCCCATATATCACTTTATCAATAGCTTGCATGAAGTATATCAATATATGGCCTCAGGCAGCATGCTTGGTGCTAAACCCGAACTAGCGCTGGCTAAAAGCAGCCCGGTGGAGCAGGTTATTACCGTGTGTGTCCGAATGAGAGGCAGGGAGGAGACTGGGGTGGCACAAGGCTCGCTCCTGTCCTGCACGAAGCTCCTTGTTCCTTCCTGCTCTCAGAACAGCTCTCTCCCGTTATCACCATCCAGCCGGGACACTGAGGTGGGACGGTGGGCGATCAGATGGGCCGAGGCAGGAGGGGTGCTCTGCAGGTGCCCCCATGCCCTGCCTGCCCAGAGGAAGGGGCCGCCCCTGCCGTGCACC